TGGCAGATAGTGACACTGTCTGGAGCCTTTGGCAAGCACCCATAGGTGAATCACAGACAAGGCCATTGGGATTTTGGAGTAAGGCCCTGCAATCATCTTCAGACAATTACTCTTTTAAAAACAGCTTTTAGCCTGCTACCAGGCCTTAGTGGAAACTAAACAGTTGACCATGGGCCACCAGTTTACTATGCAACCTGAGCTGCCCATCAAGAACTGGTGTTAAATGACCCACCAAACCATAAATCTGGATGTGCATGGCAGCACTCTTTTCATCAAGTGGAAGTGGTACATGCGTAATCAGGAGTAGACAGGACCTGAGGTGACAAGTAGGTTGCATGAAGAAGTGGCCCAAATGCCCAAGGAATCTACTGCAGTACCTTTTGTCCCTCAGCATGAACCTATGGCTTCATGGTGTGTACCTTATGATCATTTAATAGAGAAGAGAAGACTAGGGCCTGGTTTACAGACAGTTCTGCACAATATGCTGGTACCACCCAGAAGTAAACAGCTGCAATACTGCTGCTCCCTTCTGGAACAACCCTAAAGGAAAGTGATGAAGGGAAATCTTCACAATGGGCAGAACTTCAGGCAATGCAGTTGGTCGTGCATTTTGTCTGGAATGGCCAGATGTGCAACTGTTTACTGATCGTGGGTCATAGCCAATGGTTTGACTGGTCAGGGAACTGCTACAAACACAATTGAAAAATTGGCAGCAAAGACATTTGGGGAAGAAATATGTGGATAGATCTGAATAGGCAAAGGATATGAAGATATTTTTGTCTCAAGTAAATGCCCGCCAAAATGTGTCCTTAGCAGAGGAGAAATTTATTATTCAAGTGATTCTATAGATAGCTGTAAACCTCTTTCTCTAGCCACCCCTGTCATTGCCCAATGGGCTCATGAACAAAGTAGTCATGTTGGCAGGGATGGTGGTTATGAATGGGCTGTAGCATGGACTTCCACTCGCCAAAGCTAATCTGGCTACCGCCCCTGCTTAGTGCCCAATTTGCCAGCAGCAGAGACTGACCATAACCCCCAGTATGGCATAATACCCCAAGGAGATCAGCCAGCAACCTGTGGCAGGTTGATTATATTGGACCACTTCCATCATGGAAGGGGTAATGGTTTGTCCTTACTTATTCTGTGTATAGATACTTATTTTGTGTATGGATTGCCTTCCCTTCATGTAGTGCTTCAGCCAAAACCACCATCCATCAAGTTACAGAATGCCGTATCCATCATCATGTTACTCTGCACAGCGTTGCTCCAGACCAAGGAACTCACTTCACAGCTAAAGAAGTGAGGCAATGGGCTCATGCTCATAGGATTCATTGTTCTTACCCAGTTCCCCACCACCCTGAAGCAGCTGGTTTGGTAGAATGATGGAATGGACTTTTGAAGATGCAGTTGCAATGCCAGCTAGGTGGTAATACCATTGCAGGGCTGGGGAAAGGTTCTCCAGAAGGCTGTCTATACTATAAACCAGTGTTTAATGTATAGTACTATATCTCCTGTTGCTAGAATTCATGGGTCCAGGAATTAAGGGATGAAGACTGGAATGGTACTACTCACCATTACCACTAGTAACCCACTAGGAAAAATTTTCCTTCCTGTCCCTGCAATCTTATTCTCTGCTGGCCTAAAATTCTTAGTTCCAAAGGAGAAATGCTTCTGGTGGTAGATAAAACAATGATTTCATTAAGTTAAAGTTAAGGCTTCCCCCTGGCCACTTTGGGCTCCTTATGCCTCTGAGTCAATAGGTTAAGAAAGAAGTTACATTGCTGGGGCAGGTGATTGATCCAGATTACCATAGGGAGGTTTGCCAGTTACTCCACAATGAAGGTAAGGAAACATACTCCTGGAGTGCAGGAGATCCCTTAGGACTTCTCTTGGTATTATCCTGTCCTGTTAAGGTCAGTGGGAAACTATAATAACCAGGCAAGACTACAAATGTCTCAGACCCTTCAGAAATGAAGGTGTGGGTCATACCTCCAGGTAAAGAGCCAAGACCTGCGGAGGAGCTTGCTGATGGTAGAGGGAATGAAGAATGGGTAGTAGAAGACATACTCATAAATACCAACTATGGCCATATGACCAGTTTCAGAAATGAGCATTGTAATTGCCATTGAGATTTCTTTCCTAGTATATGTTTGTGCATACTTATGCATTAAGAGGAAATGTTTGTTACTCTTATGTTATTCATTATGTAATGTAGTATTGATTGACTTAACATCAGTATTTAAAGTAATATTTTTATTTTCCTTCTATTCTGATGAAAGAACTAGTGCATTTCAGGTTGTACAAAAGATAGTTACATGAGACGGAATTATGACCTTGTTACTGTGTTTATTTGGAGATTAAGTATGATGTAAAATGTCATGTTTGGATATCAAGTTGACAAGGGTGTAGGTATAATTGTTAATTTGAATTGTCAGGTTGATTGGATTAAGAGATGCCAACGATTTAAGAGGCTTGTAGCAACAGTAAGTGTTGGCAAAGATGTGGGGAAAAGTTGCTGATGGGACTGAAAATTGGTACAACCATTTTGGAAAGCATTGTGGAGACTTCTGAGAAAACTCGGAATGGAACCACCATTTGACCCAGCTGTCCCACTCCTATGTTTATACACAAAGGACTTAAAATCATCATACTGGAATGATGCAGGTACATCAATATTTATAGCACCTAATTTCAGAATATTTAAGGAATGGAACCAAGCCAGGTGCTCTTCAACAGATGAATGGATAAAGAAAATGTGGTGATACAAGGGTATATTACTCAGCCTTAAAAAAGAATGAAATTATGGCATTTGCAGGTAAATGGATAGAGCTGGAGTGCTAAGAGCCACAGCCAAGTAATATGATGCATGGCATTTTTGGTTGAAAGGTGACGCCAGCTAGCCATTGAGATGATATGATTATGTTAAGATTTGCATTCATATGGATATTGGACTCCTGCTGTTCATTTCAGCCTGCTACAGGACTCCTGGAGAGTTCCCATTGGTTGGGGAAGTACAGTAGGAGGGAATTCCGGGGGAGGAACTTCCTCTGGGGACCGGGAGAACCCCGCGTGGGTCTATCGGGATTGTTCCCCGGGGCGTACGGGGCATTGGCGGCAGTTTCAAATAATAAAATTTGTTCCTGCTTGAGTGGCTCGTGATTTTGTGTCTAGCCAGACTGCGGCAATTGGTGGCCCGTGCGGGGGACACCTGAAGCTTGGAAGTGAGTAAAATTGCTGAGGGAAGGCGACAGAATGGGTGACCATTTCAAAAAACAATGTATTCTTGTTTTGATTTATTTTGTTTTTGTTTCAAGCTGCCTATCCCTAGAATTTTCTCAGGCAAACTGGGAAAAATGGTTGGCTCAAGGTTTGAAGTTGTTCGGCCCTGAGAAAGAGAAAATTGATACAACTATTCTTTGTTCCGTTTTTGTTTCATTCTGTTTCGGTTTTGTTTTATGCTATCTTATTGGGTTGCGTTACCTTTATAGTAGATTAGAAACTAGTAAAAAACAAACTGAAAGACTGTTAAGTAAATTGTTAGAGATCCAGACTATGGTAGAAAACATGTTAGGTCAAGCAAAAGAAAAGGTCTCTCTAGCTAGTCAGGAAAATTTGAAAAAAGAAAGCTTAGAGGAAAAACAACCATCAGGCGGGGAATTAAACCAGGAGGCTGCTACTAACTCCTTTCTATCACCAGAGGGCATAATTCAACCAATAGCTCCATCTACAGCTGAGCGGCCCTTAACTCCCGTAGTTGATGGACGGAATCCTGAGGCAGGACCCCAAAGATTAGCATGCCCTGTACTTGAGCAGGCAGGAGGGCAACGAATTCACCGTGCTTTAGATTTCAAAACAGTGAAGCAATTAAAGGAGGCTGTAACAACCTATGGGCCGCAAGCACCCTTCACTGTGAGCATGGTCGAATCCATTACCAACTTAGACATGACGCCAGCAGATTGGGCTAACATGTGTCGATCTGTGCAAAATGTCATGTATGACTAATTAGAAGGAATTTTTTAAAAGCCACAATCTGAAAATGATTTATAAATTCTCAAAGAATTGATATATATTATTTTCATTTAAGTAAAAATTTGTTTTTTAATATGTAAAAAATTAACATTTTATGTAAACATATAGAAAACAAAATATTTTTTTCATTTTGTCTTCTCACAACTGCAGTCTTCAGCAAATTATTTTAAAATTCATACTTTCCTTTGACTTTAATTTTTCGTTTCTTCTGAATTCCATATCATAAAAAACTTGTGTAAAAATCAAGCTTTACCATTTACTGAAAGTGTTTCATAAAACATCATGAAAGATGAATAATATTCTGCTATCACACTAGTTTGGGTTTTACAAATTAAGATATGAAAGCCTCTTGAAGTTTTATGTATACATTTGAAATGATCTAAATGGACTCTTACTGCCATTAGCTATTTTAATGACATACATAAATCCCATTAAATATTTGAACTAAAATTTATCAATGAATGTTTCCTTAGTGGTCTACCTGATTGCAATTAAAATTTTTCTCTTGTACCAATGTTATTGGAATCATGAGAGAACTTCCTACATATTCAGAAATCCAGGCCCCATCAACTACTGAATCAAAGTCTGTATTTTAGTAATTCTCTGATTCATCTTTGTACAATTAAAAATTGAGAATTACCCTTAATCACCATAATTTCTTTATCTGAGTATCATACAATTTATTTCATAAAATACAAAATGCAATTAAATGTATATTCTTTTATGGATGCTTTAATTTTACATTATATTTCATAGAAGTAAAGTATATACACTCTTTTGGCCCTATTGTTCTCTTTCCTCAGCTAGATAATAGAGAAAATATCACTATGTTTAAAAGTATGTTATTGAATAACTAAAATCACTTACTTACATGCAAGCCATTTTTACTAACTCTCATTTCAACTTCAAATTAAAAGACCTGTGATGGATCGTTTGCTCAATGTGCTATTTATTTGCCTATTTTTCAGGATATGTTGACATTGAGGGATGTGGCCATTGATTTCTCTGAGGAAGAATGGAAGTGCCTTGAGCCTGCTCAGCGTGATTTATATAGAGATGTGATGTTAGAGAACTACAGAAACCTGGTCTTCCTGGGTAAGCATAACTTCCCTTCAGAATTTCTAATTAATTATCAATATTTAATTTCCTTCCTTTGTAGAATGTATTTTGGGAGTTTCTTCTCTGCATGAATGCAGAGACCTGGTCTTCCTGGGTAAGCATAACTTCCCTTCAGAATTTCTAATTAATTATCAATATTTAATTTCCTTCCTTTGTAGAATGTATTTTGGGAGTTTCTTCTCTGCATGAATGCAGAGACCTGGTCTTCCTGGGTAAGCATAACTTCCCTTCAGAATTTCTAATTAATTATCAATATTTAATTTCCTTCCTTTGTAGAATGTATTTTGGGAGTTTCTTCTCTGCATGAATGCATTCATGAAAAACGATTGGTACAGACAAGAAAATGTTAATGATTTTGTTTAGTCTTTAATCTCTCCCTCTCTTGGTTTGATATATATCCTTCACTTTGATAAGTGGCACTTAGAGTAATTTAGCAATGTAAAATATTGTGGCCTACACAATGCAGAAAACACAGTTGAGAGACCTAAAGGTCAATGAGGAAGCCATACTTAAAAATGCTTATTGAGAAGTTATACAGCCTTGACCCCCTGACCCCCCCCCCAAAAAATGTTCAGAAGTCTGGGTTTGTTTCTATTGTTATCATAGAATAGCTTGCACTTCCTTGTGTTATTGTGTTTTCAAATTCTTTAAAGCCTCCTCCTTTTCCTTCAGTGGTGACCCAGTACATTCAAATTAACAACCAAAACACTCCCCTTTGCTTATGAGAGTCAGCACGGTCCGACAAGTTTTCCATTGTTTTGGGTCTGTAAGAAATCTGAGCACATTTATAGAGATATCGAGGTCAAACCTTTGTAATATATTAATATCATAAAATAGTTTCTCATATTATTTATATATTTATTTAATACAATTCCCTTATCAGAGCTCTTTATGAATTCTTATAATGATTTTTTTTTTTTTTGTAAAAATGTTCTGCCATATAATGATGTCAAGATTTGCAATGCTGCTGTTTTGGGGGTCAGTAATCACAGGTGTAATAATATAAAAGTAGTTACAGGTGTCACTATATAAAATTGTTTTTAAAATACTATATCTGTTATTTAAATTATGTTGGTTAAATTTCTTTTTATTCATTTTTTTCTGTTCTTTTATAGAGATTTCATGTTATAAAGTAGGTTTCCTCATATCATTTAATAATGCTTTATTTTTCCCTATATTTTATGATCCGATGATAGTTTCCATTACTTTACAAATAGGATAATGTAAGTTGAAATTAATATATGTATGATCCTTGTTTCTATATATATCAGTAAAATTACATGTGCTTTTACTTGTACAAATATTACAACTGTTATGACTTTTATATTTTATTTAGATTGGTTTCTCATCTTGCCTATGTATATATTCATGGAAATTTTTTGTATGTAAATGTAATATAGATTGAATCCAGGGATGCTCTAAGAGTAAGCTACAATTTCATTTATATGTGAAAAATGATTCTCATTGAAGATAGACTTGGATTTGCAATTCTCCTGCTTCAGAATTGCTAATAGCTAGCATTACATGCAAATCCATCATACATTGTTAAGTTTATTCTTATTTATGTAGTCCTTTAAAAATAACTTTCAAAAATTTTTGCAATTTTGTTTCTTTTATTTATTATTTGAAATTTTAATTGTGATCAAACCATAAAATAAAATATGCTGTCTCTATCGTTTCAATTATGCATTCCAGTTTTGTTAATTCTAATTGTTTTATATAAAGTTTTTACCTGTAAAATCAAAAAATCAATTCCCATGTAAACAAGGGCTCATTTTTGTCTCCCCTATAACAATTATCATTCTCATTTCTGTTTAGACCATTTTTAAGTTTAATTCTAGAATTCTAACATGTTTGTCTTTTTTGTTACTTATTTAATGTACTTTAGATTTATCCTTATTATAGATTTTGCAAAATTTATTAATTTTGACTTGAAAAATATTCTAGTTTGTATATTCCAAATTATGTTATCCACTCATTTCAAGGACGTTTTGTTTGCCTCATTATCATGGATCTAATTTATAATATTGTTACAAACATTGGTGGGCAAAATATTTAATTTGCAATATATGTGTGGGCTTATTATTGTCAGGAAAATTGTATACACTTATCTGTATTGTTATCAGCATTGAAAGTTAAATTCTATACCTTTTAATGTGTTTTAAGTCATGAAACAGGTTTCTTTCAATTTTATTTTTGTGTTTTGAATATTTCGGGAGTATTGATAAAATTTAGAGATTCTATAAAATTTCTAAAATAGTTTTATCTGTTTCTGCAATACAAAACATTAATTTTCTTTTACTTTACAGTAAGTAGGAATTGGTGTCTCCTCATATTACAGTGTTGCTTTCTATTTCTTTATACAATTCTCTCAATCTTAGCTTTTTATATTTGAGAAGTATGATTTTAGTTATAAGTGTATCTGCTGTTATTGCAGTATCCACAGAAAAGTTCCTTTTATCTTTGTAAAATATTCTACATTACCTCTTTTCAAAGAAAAAAAACTCATAAATTTTCGTTTTAAACTGTGTTTTCTGTATTATTATTTTGCCAGCCCACTTTTATTTATTTATTTTTTGGTCTCTTTTTATAACATTCTTATATCCTTTGCTTTTAGTCTACTTGTGGCCTTAGGTTTAGAGTCCCTTATAGATTACATAGTTGTATTTTGTTAGATTTAATTCTATTAGTCAAGCTTTTTGCTTTGGTTGTTGGCATCAAATAATCAAATAATGCAGTTTTAATGAAATAAATTTCTAAAAGTTATGAATTTAGTACTCCTCCTGTGTAAGGTTTTTTTTTTTACTTCTTATATAATTGTTTTTCCTACTTATTGGTTTAATTTATGGTTCATTGATTTTATAGTGACATACTTGGATTCCTCTTCCATTTGCCTTCTATGAATATTAATTTTTTTCATTTACATGGATACTTTTTAAAGATCACTGGTTTACACTATTTTAATGTGGTAAAAATTAACTTCACTTCCTTTTAAAATTCAGTATTTTTTTATCTTTTCAAAATTAGTTTGATTTATACCTRTTATTTCACATTTCGCCCCTTTGATAATATTTACAACTACTGTATTTTAATATTTCTACTAAGGAATTCACTATTGAGTATACCTTTCTAGGTGACGCATCTTTTTCTCTTGCTGTTCTCAAGATTCTCTTTCTGTGAATTTTAAAACTTTGATGAAAATGTGCTTTGAGCATGTCTGGTTTTCACTCCTATACATAACTGAGCTTCTTGGATTTTTATTTCTATTTTCTTATAATTTGTCACATCTTTTTATTTGTTCTGGGGGTGGAACCTAGGGGTGCTTTACCAGTATGTTTCATCCTCAGCGTTTTTTCTTTTTTTTCCAAGTACCAGGGATTGGACTCAGGGGCACTTGACCACTGAGCCACATCCCCAGCCCCATTTTATATTTTGTTCAGAGACAAGTTCTCACTGAGTTGCTTAGCTTAGTTACTTTTGCTGAGGCTGGCTTTGAACTCACAATTCTCCTACCTCAGCCTCCTGAGCTGCTGGGATTATAGGCATGCACATGGTGCTTGACTCCTCTGCACTTTTTTTAAATTTACTTATTTATATGCTTTCTGTTAACATTTTTTTTGTCTGAATTTGGCTCACTAAACCTCTTTCTAATGGTTATTTAGGGTTCATTTAGTAATTTATATCACTCACTTTCCTAATGTTCAATTCCTAATGTCTTGTTACTTCAATTAAGCCATGTTTTTGTTTGTCTTTGTTTGCTACACTATTTTTAATTGATTTGTCCATTTAAAAACTAGCCAACAATAGATTATACAGTCATTTTGGAAACAGTGTGGAAATATTAAAATAAATAAAAATAGACAAGCACAGAGCTCCATGCTTGTAATGCCAGCTAACTGGGAACATATGCAAGAAGATTTTTCATGTTTGAAGAAAGTCACAACTTAGCAACAGCATGTGTCAAAATTAACAACTTTAAAAGAACTCGTCTTGTAGTTTTATGGTACAGAACCCTTGGGCTTAGTTCCAAGCCCCACACATCAAAATTTAAAAGGAGCATGACCCTGTGATCCAGAAATACAAATACTTAATGTGTATCCACAGGAGGTTAAATCCACATGTTGAAGAAATAGCTCTACTATTGTGTTCAGTGCAAACATTTTTCCCAATAGTGAAGATTTTGTCTCAACCTATATGCCCAACAGTGTTTGAATGAATGAAAATATGGTCTTTATACCCACTTAATACTTAACCATAAAAAAGAAATATCTTGTCATTTAAATTGGCATTGAATGTACATGCAGGACTTTGCATTAAGTGAAATAATGCAGACACAGAAAGTCGGTTACAGGAGCATCTGATTCATGTGTGGAAGACAGAAATGTGAGAGTGAAATTGTGGTCATCGGGTAGTGTATTTTGTGGAGAGTTGGCATATTTTTTGTCAAAGTCAGCAAGTTTTTATTTTAATGGACATAGAAGGTCAAGAGTTCTATTGTACTACATGGTGAATACAGTATATTGTGTTCTTGGTTAATGGTAATAGAATGAATGCAATATAGTCTAAGCACAAAAGTGATTATTGTATGAAAATATGCATATGTTCATTCACTAGATTTACACACACACACACACTTTAAAATAGAATGATATGCTTGATAAATACATAGTTTAATTTTTAATGAAACAAATGAGGTAACACATTTTTTTAAAAGTTATTTTCCTTGATTTTCATGTGTTGGCTTCATCCAGGTAATATAGAAATAGGCTCTGCCAGGTATTTATTGCCTCTCAATATTATTTTCAAGTTGTCTCCAGGTCTCAATGTAATGGTAGATAGAAACCAGTATTCAGACTGCCTCCATGTAAGTCACAGGTGTTTGCATCTGTTTCATATTTCCCTTATTCCATTGAGTGAAAAAGCAATTAGTAGATTTTTTTCATAATTTCTGAATGCCATATTATGGACATGGAAGGGGTATAATTAATAAAAGTAACACATTTTCCTTCCTGATACTATTATTCCTCTCCTTAGTAATTTACTAATCTTGGATTCTCTGATTTCTAAGATGGTTTGAACAGTTCTCAGAAAGTGATTGTGTCTATACATTTTTATTTAGTTTATATGTTCTGGGTGTAATTATGGCTTTGGATTTACTCCTCTGTTACTCTGTTGATGTACTGATAGTTCTATAATTTTATGTGTGATGTTTGCAAAACATTCATTCCAGTCTAGTAGGTAAAATAATTGTTATTTTGGGGGCTGGGGATGTGGCTCAAGTGGTAGCATGCTCGCCTGGCATGCGCACGGCCCTGGGTTCGATCCTCAGCATCACATATAAATAAACATGTTGTGTCTGCCGAAAACTAAAAAATAAATATTAAAAAATTTTCTCTCTCTCTTTAAAAAGATAATTGTTATTTTTATATGTTTCAGCCATGACTTCTCATCATACTCAAGAATTTTCACCAGAGGAGGGCATAAAACATATATTTCAACATGTGATAAAGGAAAAAAATGAAAATCATGACCTTGACTATATACAACTAAGGAAAATATGGGAAACTGGATGTGAGAATGAAAGTCAGAAATTACATTATAAGGGAAAAAACCTACTAGCCATAAATATTCATGATGAAAATTTCACTGTCAACAGACATCAAGAACATTTAATATCTCAGGAAATAATTCAACTTATGCCAGTTATTTTTCAGGAGCTATGTATGTCTTTAAGAATGAATCCACAGCAATTTTTGAAGCATATAATTTTTCCTAATGAAAATATGGAAGATTTGAAAAGACATCTAGTGTATGCTTCAATTTTTAATTTGATCATTATCAAAGGTAGTGTTGAGTTAAATCTCCAGTCAAACATTTTCAGAGACAAGAGATTTAAAACTGAAGGACAAGTTTTTAAAAGTTTTACAAAATGCCCAATATTCTGCAATGAACAAATCATTTCTCCTTGTGCCCCGGTGTGCTATTTTAACAACTGTGAAAAGGTCCACAGTTATCCATTATTGCTTAATAAAAATCCAGATACAGGTTTGTGGAAATTATGCTTCATCAATAATGAAACAGATGTTGCTTTTAGCCAGGTCTCTGCCCTAAATAGTTATCACTGTGTTCATATTGTTCTTGAAAAAYATGAGTATAGAGACACTCATAAAAACTATAGCATTGATTGCAATCTGAGAAAAAATAAATACACCCAGTTTTCAAAGAACCTTTACAAAGATGAAAAATGTTGGAAAGTCTTATTTCAATGCCCCAAACTTACTATTCAGACAAATATTTATAGGCAAGACAAGTCCTGCAAGTGTAACTTATGTGAAAGAGCTCTTAATGAAATTGCAAACTTTACCCAATACCAGAGAATTCATGTTGAGAGAGATCCCAATATGTTCAAACAATGGACGACAGCACTTGATTGTTCATACCTTTCTAAACAACACCAATATTATTGTAGCAATAAGCCCTGCAAATTTCAAGAGTTTCACAATACTGTTAATCAAATGTCACTCCCTGTTTTGCATCAGACAATTCATACTCAAGAGAAGGCCTGCAAATGTAAAGAATGTGTCAAAGCCATTAGCCATTTCTCAACCCTTTCTGAACATCTGAGATGGAATAACAGTGAAAAACTCTACAAATGTAAAGAATGTGACAAAGTTGTTTATCAAAGCTCACTTGATACTAAACACCAGAGAATTCATCCTGGAGAGCGAGACTACTGTTGTAAAGCATGTGACAAATCCAAATCCTTAAAGAATTCTTCAAACCCTTCTCAATATCAAAAGAGTGATAGTGAAAATAAGTCCTACAAATGTAAAGAATGCAACAAAACCTTTAATAAAATCCAAAATCTTACTCGTCACCAGAAAATTCATACTGGACAGATGCGCTACAAATGTAAAGAATGTGAGAAAGATTTTTATCAAAAATCACACCTTGATGATCACCAGAGAAGTCATACTGGAGAAAAGCCCTACAGATGTGAAGAATGTGGCAGAGCTTTTTATCGAAGGTCACACCTTATTAGCCACCAGAGAATTCATACTGGAGAGAAGCCTTACAAATGTGAAGAATGTGACAAAGCTTTTTATCGAAGGTCACATCTTACTTACCATCAGAAAATTCATACTGGAAAGAAGTCCTACAAATGTGAAGAATGGTGCAGAACGTTTAATGAAAAAACATCGCTTACTCAACACCAGACTCTGAATACTGGAGAGAAGCCCTACAAATGTTTAGAATGTGATAGAGCTTTTTTTCAAAGATCACACCTTGTCAGCCACCAGAGAATTCATACTGGAGAGAAGCCCTACAAATGTGAAGAATGTGAAAAAGCTTTTTATCGACGGTCACACCTTGTTAGCCACCAGAGAACTCATACTGGAGAGAAGCCCTACAGATGTGAACAATGTGGCAAAGCTTTTAATGAAAGAATATTACTCACTCAACATCAGAATATCCACACTGGAGAGAAGTCTCACAAATGTAAAGTATGTGACAAAGTTTTTTCTCAAAGGTCACACCTTGTTAGCCATCAGAGAATTCATACTGGAGAGAAGCCATACAAGTGTGAACAATGTGGCAAAGCTTTTTATCGACAATCACACCTTATTAGCCACCAGAGAATTCATACAGGAGAAAAGCCATACAAATGTGAAGAATGTGCCAAAGCTTTTTATCAAAGATCACACCTTGTTAACCACCAGAGAATTCACACTGGACAGAAGCCCTACAAATGTGAAGAATGTGGCAAAGCTTTTACTCAAAAATCACACTTTAGATGCCATCATAGAATTCATAGTGGAGAGAATCCCTACAAATGTGAAAAGTGTGACAAAGCTTTTATTGAAACAAAATCACTTACTCAACATCAGAGTATTCATAGAGGAGAGAAGTCCTACAAATGTGAAGAATGTGGCAAAGCTTTTATTCAAAGATCACACCTTATTTGCCACCAGAGAATCCATACTGGAGAGAAGCCCTACAAATGTGAAGAATGTGGAAAAGCTTTTTATCGAAGGTCACACCTTGTTTATCACCAGAGAACTCACACTGGAAATAAGCCCTACAAATGTGAACAATGTGACAAAGCTTTTTATCAAAGATCACACCTTGTTGGTCACCAGGTAATTCATACTGGAGAAAAGCCCTACAAATGTGAACAATGTGGCAAAGCTTTTTATCGAMGRTCACACCTTRTTAGCCACCAGAGAAYTCATACTGGAAAGAAGCCCTACAAATGTGAAGAAGGGTGCAGAACTTTTAATGAGAGAACATCACTCACTCAACACCAGACTGTGCATCCTGGAGAGAAGCCCTACAAATGCAAAGAATGTGACAAAGCTTTTTWTCAAAGATCACACCTTGTTAGCCACCAGAGGATTCATACTGGAGAGAAGCCCTACAAATGTGAACAATGTGGCAAAGCTTTTTATCGACGATCACACCTTATTAGCCACCAAATAATTCATACAGGAGAAAAGCCCTACAAATGTGAACAATGTTGCAAAGCATTTTATCGAAGATCATACCTTATTTGCCACCAGAGAATTCATAGTGGAGAGAAGCCTTACAAGTGTGGAGAATGTGACAAAGCTTTTATTGAAAGAAARTCACTTACTCAACATCAGAGTATTCATACYGGAMATAAACCATACAAATGTGAAGAATGTGACAAAGCTTTCATTCAAAGATCACACCTTGTTAGCCAYCAGAAAATTCATACTGGAGAGAAGCCTTATAAATGTGAAGAATGTGGCAAAGCTTTTTATCAAAAATCAAACCTTTGTAGTCACCAGAGAATTCATACTGGAAAGAAACCCTACAAATGTGAGGAATGTGGCAAAGCTTTTTATCAAAGATCACACCTTGTTTACCACCAGAGAATTCATACTGGAGAGAAGCCATACAAATGTGAGGAATGTGGCAAAGCTTTTTATCGAAGATCACATGTTACTAGCCACCAAAGAGTACATAAAGGAGGAAAGTCCTGCAAATTGAAGAATGTTGAAAAGCTTTAAATGAAAGAGTATCACATACTCTACACCAGAGTATCCATACTAAGCAGAAGCCCTACAAATGTGAAAATGTAAGAAACAGTTTTATCACAGATCACACCTTTTTAATCACCAGAGAATCTTGCTGGAGAAAAGGYCTAGACGTGGAGAATGTGGAAAAGCCTTTTATTGAAGATCACACCTTATTTGCCATCAGATAATTCATGCTGTGGACAAGCCATAAAAATATGAAGAATATGGCAAAGCTTTTTGATGAAGATCACACCTTACTTGCTACTAAACTTTGCTGTACTTTAACTAAACTTTGTGTCTTCTCTGAAAATCTCTTCTTCAAGAATACAAGAGCCAGGAAACACAATGTATCCCCTGATTCCTGGAATAACAGCCAAAAAACATAGTATTCCCTAATTT